AAAAAAATTGAATGTACAATTGCTAAATGTGCTATTAAATTCGCTAATTGTCTGGTTCTTTGTTGTATGAGTATTATAAATAATTGTTTAACTTAGATTTATTTAAATTTAATTCGTATATATTTTAAGATTTCTTTCATAACATATAAATTATATGTCATTATCGATTCAAAGATCATTGTAAAATTGAAATCTGCTTCATGCAACAAAATTTTGTTATGACAAGACACGATTTAAAGCAACAATTATTTCAAATATTAAATTACAAGCAGTAGTTAAAATTATTAATTTGTATTGCTTTGTAATAATCACAAATACAATATTGTATTTATGTAAAAAAGATTCCATGTGTAAAACACGCAACATTTGTAAAATTAAAATGAGGATATGTACAAAATTTTATTTTTTTTTCCGTAAATATCACGGATTGAGTAAAATATAATACATAAATGAAACATAAGATATGCAATTATTTCTGGAAGGCTTAAATCAGAAGACTACTTCCGTTTGTACAAAATTTATATATATACATAAAAGTATATATATATATATATATATATGTATGTATAAGAAACTTTTACATCTTATTCCAAGAGTACATAACAAAACTTTTAAATTTAACGCAAAACCTTAATATTATCGAAAAAGTTGAAAGTTAAATATCATATGGCTTATCAAAATTTTAAGAGGTGAGAAAGTATGACAGGACAGTCTACATTTATATAAACAAAATATATCCTAGAATACACGATCTTGGTAACCACTGTCAGCCATACTAGAACTAGGCTTTGCTGGCCCTCCAGGTACTTGATGATGAGGGTGACGTATGTGACCGGGACGTCTTGGTGGGGCTAAGTACTCGAACATACTCTGTGTATGTTGCGCCAACATTTTGCTAAGATCACAAGGCATTGGATCGGTCCAGAAAAAGTCATGATTCAACGCAGAATCAGAATCAAATCTTTTAGATGGATCAAGAATTAAAAGTTTATCTAACAAATCGCAAGCGTAAGGATCCTTTAGATATGGTTTCAATCTGTCTTTCACCTATATAAAAAAAAATGTTAATTTTCAGTGCATTGTTTATAAAGACTTTTTAAAGAATAAATTTCATTAAAAATGAAAGCACTAATTACCTTTCGCTTTTGACCTTTGGGTAAATCCATTTTATTAAATAATTCTAAATTTTCTACTCCAGGCCAAACTTCTGTCGTAATAGAACCACATAATTGAGAAATTAATATCAGCTGTTGTTGCTCTGTATTTCCTTGCATTATTGGTGATCTGAAAAATTAAATTAATGAAAAGAAATGCCAATTAATAAATATTGATAAAAATATTAAGGATATAAACCTGGTCCACATTTCAGCCATTATGCATCCTGCACCCCATAAATCAACAGGGGGGCCATAGTTTCTATCGCCAAGTAGAAGTTCAGGTGGTCTGTACCAAAGAGTAACAACTCTATTTGTATAACGATTTGGTTGGCCATTTTTATTTGCACTAAATGCACGAGCTAAACCAAAGTCAGCTAACTTCAATATACCATTCTTGGTTATTAAAACATTTGCAGCCTTCATATCTCTATGCAGAATCTATGAAAAAATATGTAAATTAAAAATTATTATTTACATTAAACAAACTATCTTCTCTTCATTAATTACACAATTTAAATATTCTTACCTTATTACTATGAATATAATAAAGACCATTTAACAATTGTTGCATAACTTTCTTAATTTCTCCTAAACTAAATTTGACATTCACATTTGACAATAAACCTGCCAAATCATGTTCACAAAAGTCAAATACAAGATAGAATGTAGAACGATAACGATTATACTGAGTTGCTGAAACGAAATTTTCAATTATTTACTCTTCTTATATATTATTTATATTATGTAATAACATCAAAAATTTTTACCTCTTGTTCTACATATTTCTATTAAATTTACTACATTCTCATGCTTCAGTAACTGCAATATCCTTATTTCTCTTAAAGCAGTTATAGGAAACTATAAACAAAAAGAAATTGCTAACATTACGTTACACTTAAACAAAGAAAAAACAGTGAAATGTCTCAGATTGTTTATTCACATCTTTCATTAATTTTTATTAAGATATGTAATACATATAAAGCTTTTTAAAAAATGAAATAAAAATATAATAAATCATTGTTTTTTTATGCTGAAGAATACAATTTATACAATTGATACAAATGGACGAAATAGACAAAGAAATAGTCAAAGAATGAAAAGATGTGCATCGAACAATCAAATATTAATACATTTGAACGTATACATACCCCTTCTTTTTCATTGTCCATTAGCACTTTTTTCATAGCTACGAACTTTTTTGTACAATTCTTATCTCTAGCTTTGAACACCTCCCTACAGAACGATTATGAAAATTGAGAAACAATGGATTTTTCACTTGTATAACCTAAAATTAAGTGAAAATTTTCTATTAAATTTATTAAATCTTACCCAAAGGTGCCCTGGCCAATTTTCGCCACTTTTTCATATTTCGACGATTCGTCACAATGAGGAAAATCAAATTCTTCGATGTATTTCTCCTTCTCCTTTGTGTTCATCTTCGATGTTCACCGAGTAAATATAACTTTTGCACATAATGGCATCGTAGACAAAAACTCATGCTTGTTCACGAAACTATTTGACAGTACGTTCTCGGACCTAACCTCAAAATAAAAAATTGATCCCGGTCTGCGCGTCACCTAGTGGCGCCAGTGACAGATAGTCTCACGCTTTCGCATTGGAAACGATCGTGGCATATTTATGCCTTTTGAACAACAAACAAGTGAACGTTTGGCAGTATCGTACCGTTAATATCCCTTGAATTTTGTATCGTACACGTCGAGCAAAATGCGCGAGAGTATTGTTGCTCGTAATACCGCGTAATCATGTTATGTCCCAACCGGTGTTCGAGAACCGAAATAATGCGAGGTACGTACATATGTACGAAATACGATCAATAAATTATTATTGAGAACGTCTTGTCAAGAACATGTATTTGAAAAAAAATACTTCGACTTTCAAACACACGTTATTCAAAACGTCTTTACATATTTAGAATTTTCTTGAAATGGATAGGCTATATCCAAATCGTACTATCCCGAGTGTATTGCTTGTAATATCGAAAAGTAAGTCGTATATGTTGGATACGTATGAAGATGCTCTAAATGACAGTTAACAAGGTGTGTTCGATCAATCTTTTTTTTTTTTTTTTTTTTTGAAAATTAACAACATATCATTTCACAGTGGTACGTACCGCATTTTGTCAATTATTACATGAGATTTCACTAATTGTTTGATTCTTTGATGTTCGATGCCACATTGTTCGATGAATTTCTTTTTTCGTTCGGTGTTTGAATTTCTACTTTTGAACTGTGTTAGGGCTACACGGTTATTTTTGGCCTCTGTACTGTAATTTTGTTCCGGATTTCAGATTTACGTTTCAAACGTTCAGTAAGACATTTCATTCGTCAATCCGTATCCGATTATACATTAAATTTTAGGTTAAACGGAATAAGCTATTAGATGTTATTAACTTTAACTAAATATTACGCATAGTTTTGAAGATACTTCCGACACAGACTTTTGCAATAATCTATCGTTGAATACGCAATTTTTGAAACTTTGTAATGTAATACATTCAGTATGAAATTAAACCACTATCTAAATATTGAGGATACTGTAGAAGGATTAGTAATAATTACTATGCGAGGAGTATCCATTATATTGACCTTGAAATTGTTGTGTACTTTGTCAGCAATACATACGGTAAAGGAAGAGTCGTTTTCATTTTACCAGTAGTTTGACTTTTAAATTATATTGTTTGAAATTAAAAAAAAGTGAAGTTATCGCAATAAAATTTCAGATCACAAAAGTAAGAAATGTTTGTATATGAAAAATATAATTTATAAAAATATTAAGTATAATCTATATGATATTTACTTTAAATGTTTGCATTTATTTCGACTTTTTGCTTGACCTTCTTTCTACATAAAAGATTGATGGATTAAAGGTGAACAAGTATGAAAGATTAAACATGTCTCATGGCTGGAGGCAGGGGCAACAACAAGCAAAGTGGAAATTTAGACAGAATACATCAATGGCTCTGTTGCCATCAACTTTATGCTTCTGTCAAGCCTGAACCTCCTTTCAGTGAAACGTTTAAAAAACACCAGCGTATAGAAAAGAGCCGGATTGTTATAAAAAGTCTGAATGATCTGCAAGATAATATTTCAAGGTAAATTCAATAATTTTCCTATTGTTTAATTCATAAATTAAAATTAACAAATAATTCACCTAAGATAATCTTAAGATTATTTGTCAATAGTTTCATACAATATGTGAGATAAAGAAATATAAATATATTCATAAGAGCCCTTTGCATGATGTATTTGAGAAGTTCAGATGAATTATTTTGTATTATATACTTTAATTTATATAATTAACATGTATAATATTTAGTATTTGAACAGTAAGGTGTATTATACAAAATTATAAAACACTTGGGAATTTTAATTTAGAAATATTACTTTTAGCAAGTTTTATTTTATGCATCTGTATAAAAATTGTTTATTGTTGAATTGTAATCAAGGAGAAATGTATGTGTATAAAGCATTATGTGTACAAAATATAAGCTCATAAATACATAAACTGAATAGAGTGTTTTATTGTAGCATATTTACGGACTCTTTGTATTGTGATCTTAACATAGTACATGGACATAATATAATACGAACAAACCAATGTATTGTTAAAACAAGAGCTCCACATTTTTATAAGGTTCTCAAGCCTTATTTTGTATACATTAAGAATCATATTGATTGCATCATTGATAAACTGGAAATTTTTCATCATATAGAAGGCTTTGTGAGGTACTGCCATATCTCTAATCATTTATATAGAAGCAGTATCTATGAGAACTATATATTTATTTATTTACATATTGCAGGTTATACCTACAATATGGACTCTTGTATAATTCAGGAACATTTGTAGAAATTATAGATATTTGTTAAAATCTTTAAATATATAAAATAATGAATTTGTTATTTTTTATATCAAATTATATCAAATAAATACAAATTTTCCTGAATTAACATTTTCAAAGTTCCATGTATTCCTTTATATAAATTACAAAATGTTTACCTGCATGCATTTTGTGTATTAAATTGTATATTAAAATTATTTCTTTAATAAAATGTTATACGTTGTTTCAACCATCAAGAAATTGTTGTTTTATATATATTGTTATCTAGATGTAATCTTACTGTAATCAAATAGAACTTTCCTATAATTATTAACTTAAAAGATTGTA